TCAACGCGCGGGGGCCGGGCGCAGGAGGGCGAGGAGAGCTGGATGCAGCGCGAGGTGTGGATGTCCGTCTTCCGCTACCTCACCCGCAGGGAGCTCTGCGAGTGCATGCGGGTGTGCAAGACCTGGTACAAGTGGTGAGTGTGGGGACGCGGGGCCGGGGGGAGCGCAGCCAGGCCTGCCCACGCCCTGACCCCTGGACTGGGCATGGCCACCCCAAATCTCGTGCCCGATTTGGCAGCCAGAGGGAAGGGGGAAAGGACCTCGCCTCGGTGCCCTCCCTTCGCTCCCCGGAGCAGCCCTGCCGGCTGCTGCCTCCGCCATACGCGCGCCGGTCCCTCTCGTTCCCTTCTGCTGCTTTCCTCTTGTCCCTTCCCTTGGGAGACGGTCGTGCTGTCACCTGAGCACCTGTGTCCCCTGCTGTGTCCTTGCAAAAAAGGCGGAGGCGGGGAGGGCTTTGCTGGCTGGAAACGCCTGGGGGGCAGCAGCAGCAGGCCTGAAGACAATGCTGGCATCGGGACAGCTGGATGGAGGGCTTGGGAACAGCCAGGGAACTGGAAACTGGGAGGTTTCTAACCGCCGAGCAGCGGGAATGGCACGATGGGAAAGGACCGGCCCACTTGGATCAGCGGCCGGTGGGAATGGTGGGGCGTGGGGGCTGAAGAAGAGCGGCCCCTCACCTGCCACTGGTGTGGCATCTTCAGGGGCGCAGCCGAGCTGCCAGCGGGTCCGGGGTCTCCCCAGGCTCCCGTGGGAGAGGAGGAGTTTGTGCCACCCCCCAGGCTCTGCCGCAGCTCCCGGCGAAGCGGCGAGCGCTGCCGGGGCCGTGGGCTGGGGTCCAGGCCGAGTCGTTTCGCCTGCTGGGAGCAAGGATGCTTAAGATCTTCGCCCTGGCAGGAGGAGCGCTCAGGCCGACAGCTGCGACTCGGAGTCCTGTTACATGGCAGCAAAACCCCGCTGGGGCTGTTCTGGGCATCCCTGGGTGGCCGGACACCCTCGGCAACCTCCCTGCGTGTTCGGGGAAACCCGGCAGAGCAGCCTGGTGCTGCTGCTGGGGCCACAGCGGGGCTGGGCTCCTCCCCAAAGCCAGGCAACCCGCTGGCCGGCTCTTGGCCCACGGGGCTCAACTTTCAGCCTTGTCCTCATCCCCAGGTGCTGTGACAAGAGGTTGTGGACAAAGATAGATCTGAGCCGGTGCAAGTCCATCACCCCCCAGGCGCTGAGCGGCATCATCAAAAGGCAGCCGGTCAGCCTCGACCTCAGCTGGACCAATATCTCCAAAAAACAGCTTACGTGGCTCGTCAACAGGCTGCCAGGTGAGCGCGGGCTGGGGAAGGGGGCCCTGCCGCTGCCACCAGCCTGCTCCGAGGCTTCCTGGTGGCTGGACCGCCGCGAGAGATGGGCTCAGCACCCTGGTGCCTGCCAGCGGGAAAACTCCTAGGAGCCTGGATCCCGTCACCCAGCAAGCAGCCGATAGCGGTGTGGTGTCCCGCTGCTGCGTGTTAACCTCTCCTTCAGAGAGCCCGGCTGCCTCTCCCGCCCCGGGCAGGGAGGGGAGCTGCTTCCTCGTGAGCCTGGAGAAAAAGGGTCGAGACCGGGGACGCCTCGGAGCTGACCCAAGTCTTTCCCTTCTCCCGGCAGGCCTGAAAGACCTCATCCTAGCGGGCTGTTCCTGGTCTGCGGTCTGTGCTCTCAGTACCTCCAGCTGCCCCCTTCTCAGGACCCTCGATCTTCGGTGGGCAGTAGGAATCAAGGACCCTCAGATCCGGGACTTACTCACGCCTCCGACAGACAAACCCAGTAAGCTGTTGCCCAGGCTGCCACGGGGCAGGGCCGGGGTGGTGGGGAGTTGGAGGAGGGCGATGTGCTGGGTGCAGGGCCGGGAGGCGGTGCCTGATCCCGGAATGCCCCAGCCCAACAGGGCAGAAAGTCCGCGCTCAGCTTCTCCTCTCCCTTTGCAGGTCAGGACAATCGCAGCAAACTCCGCAACATGATCGATTTCCGGCTCGCCGGCCTGGACATCACTGACGCCACGCTGCGGCTGATCATCCGCCATATGCCCCTGCTCTCCCGCCTCGACCTCAGCCACTGCAACCACCTTACCGACCAGTCAGGCAAACTCCTCACCGCCGT